AGTGCTCATTTTTCATGCAAAAAGTCGATTCATTCCTTAAAAAACGCATAATTTCCACAAAAATTGATTAATCAAAAAACCCCTACGTACTTCCAAAATCAATTGTATATGGATTATAAATTCTTTTGATTTTTTATCCCACGGCTCATACATAACGAGAAATCCGTCCTTCCGTAGGAGTGCTTTTACAAAAGCTGTTTCCGCCGATCGGTTCTGTCGCCTCCATTTTGTACGAAAATGACAATCAAAAATTATTTTGTCGTAGTTCGATATGTGTTAAATAAGCCCTCTGAAAAGAGATTATTTTCCGTTTATCGTTCTTTCAACAAAAATTGTAAAAATTAGGTCTCAGAGTGGTGTTACCCCTTAAAAATAAAAGTAGCTTTATTGTATTTGTATTTTCAAATTTATTAATAATCATATCCTCTTTTCAAATTAAATATGTACCCATATATTGTAAGCGTGCTATCACTTTTTCTTTGCTATTTTTTTATTCATTTTTGCATTCCGATAGTCGGCAAGAACAGCGCAATTTAATACCAGATTCTTCCGTTTTTGGCGTAACATTTAATAATCATTTATTACAATTGATACAAATACATATGCGCTATGATTTTTACCGAATTCCGCGTAATGTTAATGAATACCTGATTTTAAAATCATATTAGAAATTGAGAAATTTGTTTCTTTTTTTAAATGACATCAACGTAAAGATACAATATTTCATACAATTACATAGAATGTGTCCATGGTTTTAATGGCCAACGATATCAGAATACTCGACAACTTTCCATTAGAGAAAAATGTTCGGAAATAAAAAGATTATGACAAAGTTACGAATTACAAATGGAACTCGAATAAACCTACGATTACTCAGATACAATATAAATAAAAATAAATCAGCAACATTTACATTTAGTCTGTTTATGGAAGCTGAGTTTACCATTTATGATCATCCAAGGTAACATAACACTCTTAGTACTCTCGGAAGTAGGTAACTAATGCTTCATACTCTCGCTTTGTAAATAATTATCAGTATTTTGGTATGGAGTCTGAAACTTACTAATGGTACCGGCGGAAATTACCTTTAGAATCTTTAACGACCTTGAATAGTGAGCGCAATTCCCATAAGCCGAATGTACTTAAACATTACTGATCTATTTGTCCTTCGTATTACAGTAACCGCGTATACCATTATTATTACGATACTTCTGAAACTTTTAAATAAATAATATCTAAGTAACTAATATTTAATGTAATAATATCTATAAATAATATCTAATGTAAGTAGTGGACCTTATATGCAGTCCACTACAGATTTTTAATCTGTATTAGAAGAATAATTTTTTTGTTTTCCTTCTGTTTTTTTTATCTATTTTTTGTTTTTAATTAATATCACTTGCTTGTGTCAGAAAATATCTATGTTTTTAATTAATATCACTTGCTTGTGTCAGAAATCATTCAATCATATCTGACATACTTTCACTACCTTCATGTGTTGTAAGACCGACAAAAAATGAGTCGATATTCAAAATAAGAGAACTACCTTCGATTTCAACAACCCTAAAATATGTCATTGTAATAATCAGGCTCTTTTAGCTTCTTGGATAGGCACAAAAATATCTAAACTATAAAAGTTGTTTTAAGCACATAATTCTTATATGTAATGACGGACGTCTGTCGGTGGTCACAACTGTAAACTATGCAAACTGTTACCGTATCAGAAAAATGCAATTATCACATTCCTGTGATATGGGGTAGGTCAATATAGCTCAAAATTGCGGTTGACGTGTTTGAGGTCTTGATGGACTTCTCGCCCGTTATAATGTATTGTTGGATATATATAAGGTGTTTCAGTTTTTTACTATTAAACTATACCAATATACTCCATACCTAAAATTAAAAAAATGTTATATTAAAATTAACTTCAAATTATTAATCATATGAACTTTATTAAAAACTTTATTGAAAATGAACTTTATTAAAAAATAATAACATACATAAACAAAATTCTACAATTTTTAAAGTTTTTAACGGGTATATTACAACTTCATATTTTTGTGAGTTGTATATCTTGTGCCTATTCAACTTACACAAAGTGTGCACTGTAAAAAGTATAAATTACAGTAACAGAGCAGTGTAGTAAAAGATTACTTCCTTAAATAAAGTGTTGTGGACCGATGGTGGGGAGGCAAAGTAAACACTAGTTTTAGTATACATTTAGTATATATGGATATGAATAAGGATATTAATTATGACTATAAGTGCGATGTACTGTAGACAATCCTGTTCCTGGTGAGCAGGAGGCTGACTCAGGGGTCTGATCGGACTATGGAAGGATTATGGACTCAATTGATCAGAATAGAAAAGTGGACACCTTAGACTCACGTGCATTTTCAGCGGTAGGAACTATTGGTTCGAGTGGTCACACACAACAGTTGAGTCAAAGAACAACAGCAATTGGTAAACGTTTCTAGTGGTCATCTCGAATATTTAAATATCGCATTGGGACTATTCAAGGTGGGGTTGGCGGTGTGTCCCTTAAATCTGAATCAGCCTCTTGCGTGCCAAAAACTGGGTTGTATATTGTTTTCAATATCCTCTACTTACGTATAACACGGCCGCAATTTTCACTTCGTTATTACATTTGATCATTATGCTTCAATTCTTTTGATCATTCCCGAACGTTTTCACATTTTACTAAACTACAATAAAGTCTGGATGTAAGCGAATCTTTCGGGTCTGAACTTTCGTTTGTATCGCGTAGTTTCTATATTGATTAATGTTTTGCCGAACGTAGGAAAAGGACGGCGAGAGAAGGAAAGAATTGACGAAAATAAACAGTAACATTTTGGGACTATCATAGGAAGCAAACTTTTTTATTTTTAATTCTTTTTCTATGAAACTTTTACAAACATATTTGTGACATTTTCTTGATAAAAATAAACATACTTCCGTGTAATTTCAAGCATTTCGCTAAAATCGTAGACTGTACTGTAATAAAATATTATTAAGTACACATGTCCCGAATTGTGTCCTATTTAGTTTCATTTTAATCAAGAAAATGTCATAAATATGTTGGAAAAAGTTTTGTAAAAAGAGACTGAAAATAAAAAAATTAGCAACGTATTGGAATTGTAAATAAGACAACAACATTTTTATCTCTTTAACAACCACAATTGTAGCATCTCTTTCTTTTTCTCTCATTATCCTCTTCTACAAGAAATCAAAAATAAAAAGGTTTTATAGTTGTATTGGTATTGTTTCACGGATATACCGAACCCAGATCGTGTTACATTTCTGGATAAATGACATTTTTGTTATCTTGATGTGTTATAACTTTTTTGTTTATATCGTATAAATTGTTTTCATTTATTTCGAGACTTTACTGTATATACTGTGACCTTCTATACTTCATAACAGATATATGGTTACGGTAATTATAATAGTCAGCGTGTTAACCCTTTCGACAAAGCATTTCACCAGACCAGAACAAAATTTTCTATACGTACATATATGTATAAATTACATCTATGTATTGTATACACATATTGAACTATGATGTCCTGTACTACATTTACAGTATTTAAGTATAACTTAACCCCTGGCCATACTTTGACGAATGTAACTGTGATACATTCACAATTAAAATGTGATACTTGATTTTTTAAGACGCTTCAATTTAAAATTTAAGTGCAATTATAATCATTTGACATAAAACAGTACGTGTGTATCTATTTGAAATTTCAGGGGAATTCGTCATGGTCCACGCGGCGTATCAGTCACACTTGGGCCAGGATTATTTCTTCGCACCCCGTGCCAAATTGGCGGACGGTATTATTTGGCTGGTAATAGTGAAAGCTGGAATCACTCGAGCCAATTTGCTGCAGGTAAATAGTCCAATTAGAAGCAATACCACTGTGATGTTTTAATTTATTGCTGGCTAAGCGAAATGCTGGCTAAACGATAAAAAAACTTTTATCGTGTTATTCTGAATTTTAACAATTGAAATAATTATTGCAAGTGCTAATGATAATAAATTTAACTCGTTATGAAATGATGCAAGAATAAGTTGTTAAAACAGTTTCTATTTGATCTCTTTTTTAAATTTTTATCATCGGATTTTTAGTTATTGACTTTGAGTTACTTTTGAAAGGTGATTCAACATTTAAATCCATCCAAAAATTTTGAACCATTAAACTTTATAACTTTTCGATTTTCTTCCTTGATATAAGATGTTCCAAATTTTCCATGCTAAAAGAAATTGAATAGTTCTCTTCAGTTTGGTATTTATGATTTTAAGGCAGAAATAATTATAAATTGAATATTCGACTTCTGGGATGCTCCGTTTGAATTATAGGCAACTGAGCGAAATATTTGCGCAGACAGTAAATACACATTACGAAATAAACTGTACGAGGTTCGCTTTTGGCGTTTCTCGTAATACTGCAAACGCTACTGTAAATAATCTTTTAAGTCTAGTTTACATTGGTAGAGTAAATGGTAGGTGTATACTAACGCAAATAATTTGTCTACGTGTTCGGTTATCCCATTTTTATCTAAAACCAGTTTCCATGCAAATTAACATTGCAATAATTTAGAAGTGAATAGGTTAGAACGAAAATTGATCAGCACCTTAATATAAGAAAATATATAAAACTTTTTTTTAAATGGCATTTTGTTTAATTTATACAAAATATATAAGATGAAACAGCTAAATGAGATTATCTATAATAAAATTACGAACAATTTCATTCAATGAGAGAAACCGTTTTTTGTTATAATCATTTTTTACGAGATTTTGAGATCGGCTATACTCTTTAAAGAACCCATTTTTCAGTAATAGTTTTAATTACATTTAAATTATATTTGTTATTTATTTTACTATTTTTCAATAAAACCTTTAATTTAAAACATCGTATGGAGTAAAACTATTTGAATGCTAAGAAGTAATCTTTTAAGTATCGTGTAAAACATCTATGAAAGTTATTAGGTTAATAGTTTATGTATTGTCACTTTAAAAATTCATTGTTTAATTTAATTTTGATTTGAAAACTTCCTCAGGTCTTGCGAAATTAGAAACATCTTTTATTTGACCACTTTCCATGTTATTTCTGAAAAAAAAGAACACATGGTATTCATTTAATTTCATTGCAAGGTTAGTTTTTTAACATTTTGTTCAAATTGCGCCTATACGAAAAAATAAAAATTATTTTCAGTAACCTAAGGTTTAATCACTGGTGTATAAACTGTGATTGAGAATCTAACCAAATGTATACATTTTCTTCGTAGTTAGATTTTATAGAACATTATACATAAAGAAATATAATATAAAAGAATTATTAGAATACAAAAAAATATTCTCTATTATTATAATAGAATATTATAATAGAATATAAAGAAATATTCGATTAAAAAGTTTACTAATTCACGAGGTATGTATTTTGAATTGAAAAATGAATTATTAATTATTTTAATATTATACCTTAATATTTTTCCACACAAAATATTCCGAAAGGTTAATTAGTGTAACCAAAAAATACACCCTACCATTTTTTGAAAATGGTGCATCTATATCTTTTCAATGGAATTGTATACTGCTTTACGTAAATCGGGTCTTTCATAATAAATAATTTAAGTACAATAAAAAATATATCAGCAATTCGTAAAATATTTCAAATTCTTTTATATATCAACAATTGATTTTTTTAATCTTGCAGCCTAATACTTTTTTATAGAGAACGTTTTAAAGAATCAAGCATTAAAAAAATTAATGGAAATAGACTATTTCCAAGATCACATGTGTTTCTTGAGAAAGTGTGATTTTATGCTAGGAAAACTTTTCACGCAATAACAAATGAATATACATATTCATATTTAAATGATTCCATTTAACTGAACTACCCCGTAGATACGAGAACATGAAAGTCGTAATAATTTAAGTCCGATTGTTTGAAATATTGACTTGCATGCTTAGGTACAATCTATGGATACATGTTTACAAAGATAAAAAGTGGAGCAAGCTGTAAGTCTGCTTACACACTAATATGAAGAGGTGAAAGCCAGAGTGGTGTAAGTCAAATTGTTTAAAATATTGACTTGCGCGTATAAGTACAATTTGTATATAAGTATTCATTTGAATGGAAGGTACTCGTAAAACCACTCGTAAAACCACACTAACTGAACTAATAAATCATATGAACAAAACTGGTGTTCGATTAATTTAAGAAAATCTTTCATTGTCATAATGGGAATCAAATGACACGCCACTATGAGTTTCATTCAAAAAGGAATAAAGAAACGTAAGCAGACTATTCTTAGGATGCGGTGATAATATAAAAAAAAATATCTTAAAATTTTTGCAAGACTAAACTTCTGGTGGAAGTTCCGTAATGATGCGAACAAGAATTAACAACAAGGAGAAGAATGAAATTTAATTTTTCGGTGGTCCTATAAAAAATATTTACAGGCTGCTTGAAATTATTTAATAAATCGATGTAATGATTTTAGAGGAGTAAGGAAAAAGAAAACTTTAAGAATAACTTGAAGAAAACTTTATAATACCATGAGAATTCAACTGTTCATAGAACAAGAACCATAAAAAAGCTTTTTGCAGAAATAAAACACATCAACTTTACATTGATCAACATAATCTCAGTTCTCCGATGTTATAGCTACTTGATTAATTCCTTGTCCTAGAATGACATGTCACATTCGTGACGCACACTATAGTTTTAATGTGATAAACTAGCCTCATATTTTCACTGTAATTGAATTTTGTATTCAATTCTGATTGTAATTTGCGTAATCAAGAATGCATAAGGTACGTAACATTTTAATTTTCTTCAGTTGTCTTCATTTTGTGAGGATAGTTAGCTGGCTCCGAATGACGCAACTGTCTAGAAAATTGGAGGTTAAGGGGTTGATAAATTTTTAAGAGATCAATAATGTTAAAAAACATTAAAACGTTTTTATTGTAGACCTATATTTCATAATAGACTTAAATTTCAAGTACATATTTATATCATCCCAGGCAATGAATTAGACATTTTTTTAATCACAAGTAACAAGTTGCAGCTAAGTAAATATATAACATATACGTAATACACGGCATAACAATTTTATCATGCAAAATTTTAGTTTCAACATTAAAATGTAAGTATAGTTCAGAACTTAAATCGAAATCGTGTCAACATTAAAAATTAAGTCAAATAAAACATAAAACAGAAATTGGTTTTTTGTTAAGCAAGTTTAAATGTGTTGCTTGTGATTTTTATTATTTTTCTTTCTATACAATTATTCCATCAGAAACGAAACAAAAATATCTAACAGTAATATGGCTTCTCTGTACTGAAAATATGGCATAGAGAAAAAGTATTCCCATTCGATGATTTTCAATGATTTTTTAAAATTTGGAAATTTGCAGCTAGACTAACAATTTTGAGAGATATAAAATTTAGTTGTATTTAGAGTTTGGGTATTATGGGATTTGGGGAGCTACAGATACGGAATCTGGGGATTTGATAATCTACGAATTTGGGAGTCTAGACATTTCGGAACGTTGAAATTTGTGAGACTACAAATCCTTGGAAACCAAGGATTTTTAAAACTTACATTTAGGAATCTAGATATTTGGAAACCCAGAAATTTGAAATTTTTTGGGGATGTGAAATTTTGGACAATTAGATATGTAGAAATATATGAATTTGTGGATTTAAAAATTTAGAAGGGGTATAGCCGGATAAGGTAGTCATATGTGCCCATGAGTTAAATAAGAAACTCAATTTGTCAGTCGGTGACATATCCAAAAAAAAAAAACATCTCACACCAGGTTTCAGCTCCGTATCTCATCCATGGGGGTAGTAAAAGGGAAAAAACCAAATTTCGGTTTTTGGCCCATTTATCTATTTAATTTCGTACAAGAATTCCGAAAACATTCTAAGACATTGAGGTGCTTGTAGCGCATATTACAGAATTTTTTCAGAACTTTTATACGAAATTAATTAGCCAAAATAGGCTAAAAACCGGAATTTCGTTTTTTCCCTTTTACTACCCCCACGGATGAGATAGGGGGTTGAAACTTGGCGTGAGATGTTTTTTTTTGGATATGCTACTGACTGACGAATTGAGTTTCTTATTTGACTCAAGGACACATTTGACCACCTTATCTGGCTATACCCTTTAGAAATTGAGAAACTTATTTAAAAATACAAATATTTAGTAACAGATATTAGGATATTTTGTAATTTTTTTTTTTTTTTTTCATTTATTTGTTTAAAGTCGCATCTACCGCTAAGGGTTATTAGCGACTCAGAGAGTACATTATTAGAGCTTGTTGTACAATTTAGTCATTTTGAGGTACTATAGTAGATTTTGTATCGATGTGTTGTCCTTCAGATTGTTCTTTAGGGTTGGTTTTATGTTATGCCGTTGTCTTATTGGAATATATTTTCTGCAGTGGATGATGATATGTTCAATTGTGAGGTGGTCATTGCACGTTTCGCATATTGGTGAGTCTGCTTCGTGGAGGAGATGTTGATGGGTTAGTTTAGTGTGGCCTATAATAATTCAAGATACTATCACTTGGTCTGGTCTGGGTAATTTCCAGGTAATGGATTTTTCGTAAAAGTCGTTTTTTATTAATTTTATACGGGGTTTTGTTAATGCAGTCCACTCTTTGTTCCAAAAATCTTTAATTTTTTCTTTAAGAGTGGAGAGTAACGTTTCCAGATGTGTGCTGTTGTCGAGGTAGTTGGGAGTAGTTGAGTTGCCTGCTTCTTTAGCTGCGCGGTCTGCTTTTTCATTGCCAGTTATATCAATGTGGGAAGGAATCCATATTATTGTTATTGAATTGTTCTTTTGGCTTGATCTGGTATAGGCTTCTTGACATTCTTGGATGACAGGGTCACTTGTCCATAGTTTCTGTATTGCTGAGAAGACGCTTGTGGAATCACAGAAAATTGCAAAATTAGTATTTTGGTCGTTTAAAGTTGATTTGACGGCGTGTTTAATTGCTTGAAGTTCGCATAGAAAAATAGGTGTTTTCTGACGAAGTTTAACTTTTTCGATTGACTGGTTCCTGACAATTGCGTATCCGGATCCGATTGGAGTCTTGGACCCGTCTGTGTATATGTGCACGTGATTTGCGAGTCCCGCTTCTAATTCTTGAAACATAGCCTTTAGCATGATTGGATCAGATTTCTTTTGGCTGTAGTTCAGTAGAGAGGTGTTAGTGCTAATTCTTGGAAAGGTCCACGGAGGGATGCTGGGGATAGATCTGCTCGATATGAGCTGGATTTCCATGCCAAGCTCCTTCGGATAATTGTTGATTCTGTAGCAGAGTGGATGGGGTGTTCTTTTCCTTTGCTGCAAGTGATTTAGGTTGTTATTTCTGAATACATTGTGGAAGACTGGGTTCTGTGGGTGGGAGGCGATTCTGATTGCGAATTGGATACTTAGGTATTTTCTTCTGATTCGTAATGGAAGTTCTGAAGCTTCGCTAAGGATGCCGTTGATCGGGCTGGAGCGGAAGGCGCCCACAGTTAATCTGAGAGCATTGTTGTGTACAGGGTCTAATTTCTTTAATATGTTGGTGTTGGCTGAGTTGTATATGATTGATCCATAGTCCAGTTTTGATCTCACTATTGCCTTATACGTAAGGAGTAGGGTTTTGAGGTCGGCTCCCCAGTCATTTGCAGCTATTGTTCTAAGTATGTTAAGTCGTTGGTAGCTATCAGTTTTGAGTTTATTAATATGAGGCGTCCATGCTAGCTGAGAGTCAAATGTTAATCCTAATAGTTTGATAGAAGATGTTTCCTTGATTATCAGATTATCAAGAGTTAGATTTATGTTCGCATGTTGTTTCTTTCTGCTGAAGGTAATTATTTTAGACTTGGTGAAAGAAAATTTGAACCCTGATGTAAGTGACCATTTCTGCAATTTATCTAGTGCTTCTTGTAGTTGGATCTGGATGGTATGGAGGTTCCTTCCTTTGCATAATAGGGTTAAGTCGTCGGCAAATAAAAGTTCTTTGACCGGGATTAGTATGTTGTCTAGTATATCATTTATAGCGATTAGGAATAGCGATACACTTAAGACGGAGCCTTGAGAAAACTCCATTTTGTAGAATTTTTGCGGTGGATAGGACGTTGTTGGCTCTAACTTGAATAGTTCTTACAGATAGGAAGTTACTGATAAAATTAAGGATGTTTCCACAAAGGCCAAAATTCTGGAGAATTCTTAGGATTCGGTTCCTCCAGACCATGTCATAAGCTTTTTCTATATCTAAGCAAACAGCTGTTGCATACTGGTTATTAGCAAAGGCGTCGCATACATTCGCTTCCAGATTTATTAGGTGGTCATATGTGGAATGAAATTGTCGAAAGCCACTTTGTTGTTTAGCGATAAGATGCCTTGATTCTAAGTACCATCGGAGTCTATAGTTTATAATTTTTTCCATTAATTTACACATTGTGTTTGTTAGAGCGATCGGTCGGTAACTGTTGGGGTCCGTTGGAGTTTTGCCTGGTTTCAGGACTAGGATGACAACAGCTTCTCTCCATTTGGTTGGGAAGATGTTGTGGGACCAAATGCAGTTGAATATTACTAGCATGTAGTTAAGCGCCTCTTATGGGAGATGGGTAAGGAAGATGTTGGGTATTCCATCGGGTCCGGGACTAGTATTCGAGCATTTGTTTAGGAAGTATAGCAGTTCATCAATTTGGATAGGTGAATTTAGGCTGGAGGAATAAGATGTTTCTTGGACTATGATTGGAGACTTCGACGCGTTAGCATCAGTTTCCTGTTTGTAGTTCTGAAACTGTTTTGAATGGTTGCAGTCACTGGAGTTTTTCTGGAATGTCGTTACCAGGATTTCGGATATTTCGTTTGGATCGGTGGAGATAGAATTGTCTTCCTTAATTAAGGCTGGTATTGAGGAATGTTGATTTGAACCTTTGATAGCTCTTATCTTTTTCCAAATTACTGAGGGAGGGGTATGTGGATTGAGAGTTGAGGTATAGTTTATCCATGATCGTCTTTTACTGTCCTTTGTGATCTTACCGGATATGGCTTGATATTTTTTAAAGTTGATAAGGTTTTCTGCGGTTTTATGTTTTTTGAACTGGTTGAAAGCATGTTAGCATGTTTGCAGTCTTTCACTGTTTGTGCGCATTTTTCATTCCACCATGGATTATATTTAGCGTTGATGTTGGTATTGTTTTTTGTCTTCGGGATGGCTGCACTGGCTGCTGCAATGATGACTTCTGAGATGTGTTCGAGTGCTAAGTTTAAATTTGTCGGGTTTATTTCAATTAACAGGGAGGATGAGTCCAATATGACTTTTCGAAACATATCCCAGTCAGCTTTTTGGAATTTCCATCTTGGGGCTTTATTAGTTTCAGTGATTCGGTTTAGCTTGCATGTCACCTTTATAGGGAAGTGGTCGCTGTCGTATAGGTCTTGTACTGTGTTCCATGTGATGTCTTGAGTGACTGCATAGGGATAGGTTAATTGCACTGAACCGACCGGATGCTGAACAGAAGTGAGTGGGTTCGTTAGTGTTTAGTAAGCTGAGGTTTGCTGAGTTTATTATATTTTCCATGGATTTTCCTCGCAAATCGGTCTTATGTGATCCCCAGAGGATATTGTGGCTATTAAAGTCGCCAAGTATAATGAAAGGTTTTGGAATTTGGTTTATTAGTTGAGTGAGTTCGGATTCATCTAGGTGTTGGCTGTTTGGTAGGTATATATTGCATATGTACAGATCTTTAGGGCATGTTACTTTAATGATGATAACTTCTAGATTGGATGAGACTGTTATTTCTTGGCTGTGGATGTTATTACTGACAAAGGTGGCGACTCCTCCGCTTGCGTGGGCAGTGTTGCGATTTTTGAAATAGGTTTTGAAGTTTTTGATTTTACCTGAATTATGGTTTTTGAAGTTAGTTTCTTGTAGGCAGATTATTTGTGGCTGAAATTCTTCGACTAGTAGTTGGAGGTGCTCGAGACGGCTGTAGAAACCATTCAAGTTCCATTGAATAATTTCTAGTGACATAATGGATGTTTGATTGGTATCTTGAGTTTATAGGGGTTTTGGATCTAAGGAGGATGAGTTCCCCTCTTTCGAGAGGATGGTTTGTAGTGAGATTGTTGTTGCGAATTGTTTCTAGTGTTTTTATTAGTTGGTGTAATCTGTTTTTCATTCTTTGGTCTTGCATTAGGGAGTAGATTAGGTGAAGCATATGTATTAATGCTTTCGTGTCGGAAGTGTAGTCGTTTGCGATGATGTTTGGGTTTTCTGTGCCGATAGCATTTTCCAGGAAACTTTTCAGTTGAGAATAGTTAAGGATAAGATGGTTTGAAGGGTCATCCAGAGCTGTTTTTGTTGGTTTCAGAATGTCGTCAATTTGTTCGATGATTCTTGACAGTGATTGGCTGCGTTTAGGTTTCTTTTTCGTAGTGGTGGGTGCAGGTTTATCGTTAGGATTAGTGTCGTTAGCACATGGTTTTAAGGGTGTTGAGATGGGCTTCTTTGTTGGCTGTTGGTCTTCTTCTGAGGTGTCTGATAGTGGTCTCTTTTTTAATTGAGTTTGAGGGTTCGCAATGGCAAGTATTGGATTATTGTCTGCGCTGAAGTTAGCCATAAAGGGGTTATCTGGAATGTTAACATTGGGGACTTTTCTTGTCTCGCTGATTTCGGTTGTGGTTGGGTTTTCATTTGTGAAGTCTATGTTATACTGTGAGTTATTGATGCTTGTCGTTGGTTCAGTTTCGTTTAGTGTTATGTTGTTTCTCGTTTCCTTGTTGTCTGTTGGGTTTGATATTGGTTTCACGGTTTAAGAATTGCATTGGTTTACGATGTGACCTTCTTGTTTGCACAAAAAACAGGTAACTTTATCAGTTGATACAAAAGTTCTGTACTGTGTGTCGTCGTACGTGATTAAAAACGATTCAGGGAGTTTATGAATATCATCTGGGTTTATATAAATTTGTCTTCTGAAGCTCATTATGTGGGTGAGACCGGGGTCTTGTAAACCCGCTCTAAGGAAGGATAGTTTCGAAGTCAGTTTGATGTTATGATTTGTTAGTACTTTTTCGATGTAGTCATGTGGTATGGTAGGAAAAATGTTGGACAGAACAATTCGTTGTGATGGATTTATTAAGGGTCTGATTGGTGTGAATGTATTGTTGATGGGCAGTAATTTGAAATTGGTAACGAGGGCTTTTGTTGTTGTTTTATTATCGAGGTAAACACAGATTCTGTTGTTAAATATGCGGGAGATAAATCGTATAGCGTTGGGTCCAGTGATTTTTGCTACGGCTTGTGCATATTCTTTGATAGTAGCTCCGTCTATGACGTTGATTATTACTGCCTGTTCCTTAGTTGGAAAAACACTGCTTACCGTGGCTGATGCGTACGATTTTGTAGGCTGAACTGTTGTATTGGTTTGGGTGTGGTTCGATATATTGTCAAATTCCATGACTTCCATGATGGGTCTTCTGTATTTAGAAGACTCACCGATAACACTAACGTTGTTGTGTGGTAATCCGCACACCGACACGACACAGTAAGCTGAATTATACACACAGACACTCGCGAGCGATTGTCAACACGTCTGATCAGTTTGACTGCCCGAGAGCGAATGATTTTGTAAGTTGAAAATATTAAAATTGGAAAATTTGCGAAAGTAAAAAGTTTGGAAACTTGGAAACTGGAAAATTTAGGAAATTTCGAAATTAAAAAATTGATAGAGTGATTTGAAAATTCAGGAATCTGAGGATTTATAAATTTAACAACATTTGCATATTAAAAAATTAAGTTTATACATGTTCATATCCAAAGAAAGCCTATGTTGGATGTTAATTTTGACTTTGGCGATACGTATTTACGTTTTTATATAAAAACATTGAAAATTGTTGTTCTTTGACACGTGTCCAGTTAAATAATTTTTTATAAATAATATATTTAATGACCTTCATAAAAATCTATGTAGTTCTCTCTTTAATAGATTACCGCTATATTTCTCATTTGCCTTAATTATAACGAAAAACAAATAATTAATTAGTATTAATCATTTGAATGAATTAGTAGGGTATAATAAACGTATAAAACAAGTTTAGGGTTTGATATGTAAGGTACAAAACGATTACCATATTAGTACTATTTATTACACTTACAAACTATAGAAAACTGTAGAAATAAAAAGTTAAATATAAAATTTAAATTTTTTCATACTAAACAGTTACATACATGTAAGTAGCGTGGAAATTGAAACTATAATCGAGGAATATATTACGTTAATTTGTTAAAATAATTTATTTATGTAAAATACAGTGAAATAATAATAGAAATAGCGACTAGATGTAACTGGTATTGGTACTACGTCAGTTAGTACTACACACTTCTTTCTGCATCAAATATTTTGTTCAGTGCAGCACTGTTGTCGCTACACGAATCTTAATAGAACTATAGGAATAGAAAAATTGTTGACAGAGCCATATACTATCACAATATTATCCGCCTTTATTCTGCCAATCATTTGCTCTATTGTTTAGATGAATATAATAAATGGATTTTCCTATTCACCACTTAACTACATTTGTATACACGTAAAATTCAAAACTTTATTTCGGCGCAGTTGACATATTGTATGTATGCATTCGTCGTGTAAAATGAAAAATTGTTGCATTTGTATGATTTAAAAATTTATAAATGAACTAACACCATTTTAGTTTGAAGACTCATTGGCTCGTTTGTTTTGATTTAATGTGATATTCATATTCAATGATACACATTCATATTCAGTATTAGAAACGTATACACACAGTTAAAATTTACTGTCACATTTCTTTAATACTTTCAACAAAAATTAACCAAAATTAACCTAAAAAAATAATTCGTTATTGATAATAGAATTATTTGATCTGTATTTGACGTGCATACTTGTCATTGCTTGATTCTAATTACCCATCCTAAGTGAGATTTCTAGATAGTTAGTTGATTAAAGTAATGTTATATTATGCAAAACGTTACATGGAATTAAGTCAAAATGTGATTCTAAAATGGATAAGATTTAATAAAAGTTTTATTTGATATAATAATGTGGTATTCAGTATAA